ACAGCCATTGAGATATCAACCAAATCCCCATGACAGAGCAGGAACTTCATTAAGCAGTAGGTACTTACAATGAGTTGCACACACATAGGTTCGGCCCATTTATATGGAAATGTACTCAATAAACATTTTTGGAGAAACCAAAGTATATTATTACTAACAATGGTTGAGGTCTTCATTTATCAGAAACGTATACTGAAACATTGTGGAACAGTAAAGACCAGCTTTCAAGTGCTACCTTACATGTGTACCATCAGAGAGCCTGGGCCTCAGTTTCTTCATCTAAATAATAAAGATAATACGCAGTTCACAACACTGCTAAATGATTACATTATTATGGTGACTATTCATCATAATAATATACTAAATGAGGGAACAAGCTAAAAAATATCTAGTATTTTTCCTGACTCCTAGTCAGATTTTTAATAAACACTGCAGCACCTACCCCCATCTTAATATCACATTTTTCTGTATATAAGTTTATCATGATTAAACTCTTCTCTGGAATCTGGTAGGATGTACCTACCCTTTAGCTTTAAGCAACATACTTACCTTTGCTACTCTCTTTGTACAGACCCTTCATAAATAAAGCCAATGCAAAACCTACGATGTCTTCTAATTCCTCAAGGGGCGTGGACTTAAAAGCCTGGATAGCTTTATCATATTCACCAATGGAACTAAGAAGCAAAACATAACTTACTTTTAATATCAAAAATCATTTTCATTTATCAAACTACAGAGATATCATCATACCAAGGTTCTTTAACAACCTACTCATTTAACATGTTAAAGCTGTAGAAAAGACTGACATTAAAATAGAAGGCATATCACTTATTTCAAATAGGATGTACTAGCGGGATTTAACTTCACACTTTGTTTCTTTTAAATTACATGTGAAAATGACCAGTTCTGCCAAATTACAGTGTCTTTTTGTTTTTAACAAACTTGAATTAAACTCTCAAGTTATCAAAATAATTTCAAGTTGACTTTTATAAAGAACTCTAATTTTTTAAACTTAATACACTAATTAAATATTACCCTATGAGTACAGTTCTAGCATCTTTGACAAGGTTAACAAGTCATAAAATACCCAGTCAGAATCAAACCTCGCCTTTGTATAAACTGTTTTTAACTGCACACACATTTTTGGAAGGCATATAGATACACTAAAATTTCACAGACAAAACTATACATCATCTTTTCTGTATTTAATAGGAAGAAAAGTAAAAATTGTCATATATGATACTAACATAGAATGCACAAACACACAAACACACAAATACTTGTTCTGTTTATTTAAAAATGAAGAGAAGCTACCATCAACTGGAACAGAATCTTTGAGATTCTTATTTCTGGCATGTATCACTGTTATCAGAAGCTGTTTCTATTTTTAATGTGTTATTGGAAATCTTTTTATAAAATCTTTTAAATCTTGGGGGCAGGTGTAGGTGGGAGCTAAAAATACAGGCAATCTTTGCTTCTAAAATTAGTTTTATGAAGGTTAAAGAATTTAAACATCAATAAACTCAAATTTTGATAAATATTTTAATAAAGGGAAGAAGACTCCCTTAGATTATTAATAGATACATACATATATATTACAAGTTTTTTTTTAATGAAAACTATTTTCAAACTTTTGTAGAGAAAACTATGGAACTAGAGAAGAGCACAAGGGGGCTTCAACTTTATTTGTAACTTTCTTCTTTGAAAAAGAAACCCGCAGCCTATTAACAGAATTTTAGATCTGTTCTGAGTGCTGACTTTTCATTAAATTATGCTCCACACTCCATTACTGTATTTTGCATGTTTAATATATTTCATAATAAAAACAAATTAAAAAGAAATCAGATGACCACCTTTCAATGGTAGGTATAAATTTTCTTCTAAAACAGTTATATTATATGAAACATCTAGCTAAAGAGAAAGGATATTTTGTTCCATACAGTTTCTTACAACATATTTATCTTCTGCTACAACAAACTCTTGGAACTGTAAGAACTCTACCAACTCCTAAACACACAGTTTAAAAGAATTAAAAGGAGAAGCAATCAAAACAGGGAAAAATTTTTGTCTATAGCTCTGATTCAGTTACATGGTTATAAAAGAAAAGAACTGGTTGGCTACCCCAGATTTCTACTATGCAGCTCCTTAAAAGATGTAGGTACTAATCCCAAAATATCAAACTATAGTTCTAACAATGTGTTTCAAACTGGAACAATCAATTTTGGGGTAGCTCTCAACTTGAGGAATCCTTACTTTGAGCCAAAAAACTTCCCGCCATTAACATGTCTGTTCTCCCGACCTAGTTCTATCTTCTGAAATAACTGGTTTCCAATCTTTTTCTTTTTTTAATCTTTTTTTTGAAG